AGCGTCGCAGGGCCCCCCTCGCACCCCACCGAGGACAGGACCTCCACGCAGGAGGTGTCCTTCATCTGCATTCAGATGTTCTGCCATCTGCTGCACGTCGCCGCCATGCTGCCGGACAAGGTGGTGGCGGCGTTGGAGATCCTCTCGCAGTACGAGACGTTCAGCAGCGCCGATACGTCCCCCAGCAGCAGACTGCGGAGAGCCAACGAGAAGCACTTCCTGGAGTCCATCGTGGACAACGTCAGTGACAAGGAGCTGCGTGGCATCCTCCTGCAGAAGCTCAGCAAGCTGGGAGCCTGCTCGGCCGGGGAGCCGGCTTGAGAAGCTGGAGCGGGCGACAGGAGAGCGCCGACCCAGCCTCAGGGGACTCCTTACGTGGAAAGTTGTAAGAGCTGTAATAAACCCTATCTATTTTTCTCTTTTGAATTTACTTCCCTGCTGCCGTGTTTTCTTCCATCCTGTCTAAGCAGTGGCGGGGCCGTGTGAAGACGGGTAGGAACAGCCGCTCGTAATTTTCCAGCGGGAATAGCTGTGCACACGGCTGTTCCGGATCTGCATTTATAGAGAGCCTGGCAGCCTCCGACATCAGGGAAATTATTTCCCTCCAGCTCTCCTGCCACCAGCTCTCTCCTAGTCCTGGGTGGATTGCTGGGTTCACCATGTGCTGCCGGAGGCCGGGAAGCGAGTCGGGTGAGTTCAGGACGGGCGGGAGCCTTTGACGATACGATACATGTGCCGATACGTGTGCGTTGCTTCTGCCCGGAGGTGGGGGTGCAGCGGTAACCCCATGTCTTAACACCCCCACCCAGAAATGAACGGCACGTGGGAGAGACATCCAGTGGTGTGACTCAGAAAGGAAATCTTTATTGGTCTCCTGATAGTAAATAGGGCAGTGTTAGTGCAAACTCAGATGCCTCGTTGGCTTTTTTTTCTTTTTTTTTTTTGTCCTTACATAAGGCACATTATTTGCAATGAAAACGGCCAGATACAAACATCTGTAACAGGTTGCAAGCAGTTTATAACGTCAGCTGGTCTCGGTCGTTAATGTAACAGTAGTGTTTCTGCAATAACCAACCACATGTTGGAAGAGGCCCTGTATTTTACTTTCCAGAACTAGAGCTGTGGCTGGGACAAGATCCGACACCCAAAGGAACTGGGTCCTCGG